ATAAAATTGGTGTACGGTAGTGAAGAGGAGAAATGGAGCAGGACTGTCCCTGATCAGGCCCCTCCTCTGCACCCATTCTGGCTTCTGCCAGAGACTGAGCTCCAAGGGTTGAGCAGATAAGACAATCAGTTTCTGTATCTTATCTCTTGTAAATTGCATTATCTCAGCACAAACAAACAGCTGGTTTCTCCACTGCCCAGTTAAACTCCCTCAGAGGGAGCAGCAGCCATGGTAGACAGGGCTGGGGGGAACTGGTCCATCCTCCTCTGGCATTGTTGGCAGAGGTGGCAACACTCTTCCAAGAAAGGAACATTGCCCCATCCAAATAATTAGTTTGGAATTATAATGTCTGCCTGCTGTTTTTTCTGGAGCTTGCAGTTACTCTTCTCTTACAGGGGCATAGAACCAGTTCAGCTTTATCAGCTCCAGTCACTTCCGTCATCACTAACCTCATGCCATAACAATATTACATCACCCCTCAACAAAGAAAGGATGGCAGCTGGATTTGGGCTCCTGAGGACAAACATTCCTGCAGCTTTTCACGGGCTTGTGAAAAGCCTTGCCAGACAGACACGGATAGTGACAGTCTAATAAATTGAAGGCACAGTGACACCATGTTAAAATTAATGTCATGCTTCCAGAAAGGCCAGTTCAGTTCTTCCCATCAGCAGGTGTCACTGCCCCTAATGACAAGCACGTAACTAGCAGGCTGCCCAGGCCCACATGCCGGTGCTGGCAGGACCATGCAGCCTGTCCCTCAGCATCATGGCTCTGCAGGATTGGGGCAGGATGAGCCCAGGACCAGTGCATCTTTAGTTTCTGAGCCTCACAGCCCACATCTCCCAGGAAGGAGCATTATTTCAATTGTCCCCAGGAAGGTAATTTTTTAAGTTTGCGGGACATGGAGGTCACCAGGTAAATGGTTTAGATGTCCAGAACATAACAAATGCCTTTCAACAAGTCTTATAGGAAACCCAGAGAAAAGAAGGCAGAGGTTTAAAGTTTGTCACCTCCAAATCTTCTTGTTCTGCGCCTTCCACCATCAGATGGTGCAAAGGCAAAAGTTGTTTCATCTGTGGAGCCATAAGCAGAGAAAGCTACTGAGCCCTGTCCAGGGGTCAAGCAGCTACCTCTGACCCGTTCAACACGGTGCTATGAGAACATGGTATTCACGACGATCCCTTCACTGTAACAGTCTGAGAAAACTGGTTTTGCAGCCCTTCAGTCATGCTAATTTGCTGATGGAAAATAAGGTCTTTGTAAGGGAAAGACAGTTAAGTGTTAATCACTGTGTTAATTGTATAGGAGATGAGCAACATTTAAGTTGTATAACTAGTGTATAAATCTCCTTAAGTAGGGTACACTTAGAACAAAAACCGTGAAACCACCTTCTCTCCAAGAGTGCCCCTCCCATCATCTGGCAGAGGTAAAGAGAGGGGAGAGGCTGCCCTGAGGCTCTCCACCACAACCATCAAAGTCAATGAAGTCACGTAGGCATTCCCTTTCCTCCAGGGATGCGGTTTCAGCTGGGAGAGTTTTACTTGGGCAGCCTAAGTTGTAGACGTATTTTTCTAAAATAAATGCAAAGGCTCTATAAGGCAAAGGGGACTGACTCAAACTCCTCTGAAATAATGGAGCACTTTTAGCAGCAGCTTAACTGCCCCTCAGGGGAGGACACCTCACATCTCCTTTGTTTCTTCAATCAAATCCACCTGCAGTTTCTCTACCAGACGCAGCCCATTTCTGCTCTCCTGCATCTCTGTTCTACAAATAACCCCCCGCTCCAGGTGTCCTCTTGTTATAAATTGCAATATAGTTATTGGCTTTCACATTTATGTGTTGATCACAGCTGTTGCTAGAGGAACAAACTGTATCTCATCTGCCAAGGCAAGGGTAAAGCACCCTGTCCTCACTGGTCTCCATCCTCAGCAACTTACAGTGTAGTCTTAGTCCAACCTCAACATTAGCAATGAATACCAGAGCTACAATCAATACACAATTTGAGATAGAACAGAAAGAAATTGTTAGTTTATTATAATTTGTGCAAATCAGCTTATACTTGGACAAGAGATCTTTACAAAATCTCTTGCCCCTTCCCAGATATAAATTCCTTGCTGGAGTTAAGAAGGAGGTTGGGCAGGCAGTGGTAGTGCAAGGAAAGGTCACCAGAACTACGGCCATCTGAGAGCCAAGGGTCAGTCCTTGCCTCCCTCTTGGATGGAAGAAAATAAGTGAACAGAGAAAGGAGAGCCAAGCTGAGGCAGTCACCCAGGTCACAACACTTTCAGCTCAAACAACTAAAGTTGGCAGAATTGTAAGCAGCTGGAAACTTGAACACAGGAACTTGCTGCGGGATAAACTGAACCATCCGAGCATTGGGCACCAGCTCCCCAGCACTTTGGGGAACACTTGCACCAAAGAAACCCCCGAAGGGAATCCCAGAACCACAGCATGGTGTGGGTTATCAGGACCCTAAAGCTCGTTCAGTCCACACCCAGCCATGGGCAGGAACCAGACCGAGCTGCTCCAAGCCCAATTTAACCTGGCCTTGAACAGCTCCTCTAGGACATCTAAGCCAGTACCTTACGGCTTTCGCGAGACAAATATATCTAAGGAGAGCTCCCTCTGACCAATACCCTCTCTGCAATTTATTCTTAATTTTACAAATAACAACCATTTCTCTATAAAAAACTATGGTAAGAATCAATGTAGGTACAGCTAGGAATATTTACATTCTTAGGATAAATTTATATATCTTATATACAAGGCTGTAGCCATTACCAGTTTAAGGTACTCCCAAAAGCATTACTAAGTAAGGCTTTATGGTCCTAAGCTGATTCTACGTTTTAAGAAATTTATAACTGCCAGGACTAAAGTTCTATTCTACAAATACTGAAATAGGTATTGTAGTCCAGCTCCCGGAGCAATGCACCCCCTCCCTGTGTACCCATCCACCCCAAATGCTCACTTGGAAAGGGGGGAGGAGTTCACACCTCTTCACAAAATACTGTCAGAAGTCAGCCAGAGTTGCCTCATTGTGGAAGATGAAGTACTAACGATGTTATGGGAGCATTACATTCACTGTCAGGAGAGTCAGATTCTAACAATTATTGACTGTGGAGCAGGAACATCAAGAGTAGGTGAGTTAATGGCATTTCCAAGCAAGAAACCATAGTCACAGGATTAGCTGAAGTGCCTGAGATGATGACAGGAGTCAGCCAGAGAGCTGGAAAGGAAGGGATCCTTGTCCCCAAGGCCATATGCTATTTCCCTTGGTGAAGATGGGGCAGTGTGATTGTTCTCTGGCAACAGGGAATCCTCCCTAAGCAGGTAACTGTAACATGCACTGCTGCTATGACACAGGTTACAGGCACCCAAACCACGCAGGATTTCCCAGGTTAAGGTCAGTCTGAGTGTCAAAATCTGTTTCATCTTCCTCCTCCGCAGCAAGCTCCCAGGTCTATCACAGTTCCTCTTCCAAAGGTCAATTCTATCCTTCTCCCTGTTCTGCAGGTATATCTGTCGTCACACTCTGTGCTGCAAATCTTATCTGCTGCCAGCACGGATACCACTCTAAGATTTGCCCATAACTGTATCAGGTCCTTTTATCTGTATCTTGTTTATATAATATTCCCTCAGTTTATTTTGGAGATGCCTGTGACCCACTAGAACAAGATCCTTGGCTCAGAGCTGAACTTGAAAAGAGTAGGATAAAACAGCAAGTACAAAATAACCCAGTCTGCTATATCAATTATGTTCCACATTTCTGACTCAGACTTTGTGTTTTTAAAAACATAAGCAAGGGAAAAAACCCTTTTTGACATGAAGTGATTGCTATTGGGCTTTGTAGTATTAGTCATACTAGGAAATTCCCCAATTTGGATTTTTAAAAAATCCCAAACTAACAGTAACAACAGAAAACCTCACACAGGACTTTAGTAAACATCAAAATATTTAAATATTCAAGAAGAACAGTCTCTCTGTCAAGGCACATATTCTGATAAAACAGTGGGTGAGAAATTACAGCTAAATCAGATGTTAAATGGACACTGCACTTTAGGTCTGGAATTTCCAGACTAAATCATGTATCAGGCAAGCACATATCTTACATTTCAGGGTATTTTCTGAAGCTGTTTACAGGAAGAGACTTATGGGACGTGGTTGTTTACATTGGCAAATTCATTACAAGGAAGTTGCAGCTAAATGTGTTCTGCCTCAGATTCTTGCAGTTACCAGATCATTCTTCTACAGCACACACAAAAAAAGCTGCTTCTCAATGCTCCAGTCCCTAAACATAAGCTTTACAAAGAAAAATATCTGTACTACGTTGTACAAAGTACTCTTAAGCTTGCAATTAATGTTTCAAAAAGGCTGTGAGCCTAACAAATCAGGTTATGTTTTTGGGCAAGGGGGACTGGCTGTCTGCTACATGTACTACCCTGACATGTATTTGTTCATGTCAAGGCTGTCCTGTGATGTGCAATCCAGATTGTAAAATCCAGATTCTCAATTTTGGCAGTAAAATCATACACTGCATTTTAAACCTGCCTCCTCAGGGCTTGTCAACCTACTAAACAGGAGTGACACTGAACCTGTCCCAAGCTTTGGATTTCTTTCCTTAGAAAAGCTGACAACACTGTGTTTGTAGATATCGTTTTCTGGCCTGGGGACATTGGTCAGCTCCCTGCTGCATTCATAAATGAAAATCTTAAACAAAGATGTGAGAAAATGAAAAAAGTGAAAGCAAACCCTAGAGCTCAGGACACTGTTAGGAAGGATTTAACCAAACCACTACAGTTTATATAGCATTTTCTACTTTCTTCCTGTGACAAGCAGTCCAAAGTACACATCATTCCCATTTCTCGAGTCTGTTACCAAGGTCAGAATTTGGGATATTGATTAATGGAAGACTGGAATCAGCCAACACCACCTGTATATTTAAACACCATAGCAAAACTTCCCCAGCCAGCTGCTGCAGTAAAGACCCTGAGAGTTTAGGCTACAAAGGTTTAGGCTGTTTATTATTATTGTCTTAATTTAACAAGACAGAACAAAACACAAGTGCCATGAGAGAGAAACCTTTCGCCACTCACATTTGTCACACTGTAACCAGCATAGCACAAATGAGACTCTGTGTACATATATATATATATATTGTATATTTAAAGAAACACAGGTAATGCCAAACTTCCATAGCACGAGGACAGTTTCTTGGCAGACTATCAACAAGATTTGTGGGTTTGTTGGGTTTTTTTGAACAATTTAAAAGCAATTCACTGATTACGTAAGTTAAGTGAATCTTAACTTAGAATGAAAAGACCTCACAGCAATCATATAGTTGACACTTGAAGATTGAAAATCAGGGGTCAGAGATACATTCTGAGTTTTGTTCTCAGTACATTCCACCATGAGGTCACTGCAGTGGCATGATTTAATATACAAATTTACAACTAAATATATTAATTGTGTGCATGTGTATATGAGTGGGAAAAACACAGAACAAAGACAGGAGAATTGTTTCCATCAACCAAATTGCACAGAAAACATTAAAACAATTTACACATAAAACTTACACCACACATTGAAAAGGGAGAATGCCAAACTAACACTACTCCCTCTACACACAGGTGAAACCATTTGCATTATTTAGAATAAATCCAGCCTGAAAAAAAGGCCATATCCAAGGTCAGATGTAAACAACTTCACCAAGAAGGTACAGTTGAAATCCAGCATTGGAATCAAGTGAATTTTGTGAACAAAATTTCAGTGCTAAATACTTTGTGCAAGACAATCCTTTCAGTCTATGCTGAGTTAAAACATAATAGGTTAGAATTAATTCTCAAAATCTTTCTTTGCATCTTTCTCAATTTGGTAACAAATTCAGCACGTGCAAAGTCATTTGAGTAAGATCACAGAGAGGCATGTTGTCATAAACCTTCACTATAATAAATAAGTTTCCTGTCCAGAAACAGAAGTCAAGGAACCAAAAGCAATGAGCAACCTTTTCAGGCAAATTTTACCTCTTGATGTAAGCATTAGCACTGGAGGAGGTTCCCTGAAGAATCCAGGCACCCTGCCAGCCCTTGAACTCATTTTCAAGTATCTTTCAGCTGAACTATACGTGTAAAGTTACAAAAGATTGATCAGATTCTGCTCCATGGTACTACTGCATGAACTGAACCGTGGCTAAAAAATCTCACTGAAGGCTAGAAAGTATGTTTATATAAAAAGAGAATGTAGGGAATACGTTGTTTAAATTAATAAATAAGGTTCAAATTACAGAAAACAAAGTGTTGTTACTAGCCCTTTCTAGAATAAATTTTAGAAGAAAAGTCCATTTAACTTTCAGTCCACCAGGAAAGACATAGGAGTTCCATCAAAAAGCTGTGCTTTTAAAAATCTCTGGATTTTCTTCTTCCTCCTTGGAATCTCTTGTGCTACTAGATGGAGGCCTGTATTCCAACCTGGGGGTTGAAGAAAGAAAAAATAAAATAACTTTAAAAACAGATGAGAGAACTTAGGGGAAAAAAATCTGAGTCTTGTCTGACATTACAGCCTCCTAATTTTAATATCCTGTTAACTTCATGTGAAAAGGCTCCTTTCTGACACCACATCTATGCTCCTGTGTCACCTTCAATCAGAGCCATGGCAAAAGGCCAAATGTTGTCAGTGCCTTTTAGATCAGCTGGACTAAACTGGAGGAGTTTAGCTCTTCCCCAGCACTTAAGAGACTTTCAGGACCTACAACATGTCCCTATACCTTGATAAAGCAACACACATTTAAAATACATTCCTCAGATGTACTTTTATTAAGTCATCAGAGTCAAATGATAAATTTGGAGCTGAGAGATGTACACATGACCATTTACACTTGGGAAGAGGGACTAAGACTTCAGCTAAACTCTTGTATTTTCAACAGAGTACTACCTTTGCTGCCAAAATCAGCCTCTCCCTCTGACCATACCTAGGCAAGTCCCTTCCTCAGAGCAGAGGAGTGTTAAGATCAGGTGGCACTTACCCTTTCACCCGCAGCATTTGATCAATGGTGTCAGGAAGAGGCATGCCATAGCTTTCAGGCAGGAATAGTGTGAGAATTCCTGACAGCACAGTCAGGCTCCCCATCAGGATGTAAGGCAAGAATCGATCATAGGCACCTATGTAAAACACAAAAAAATAAAAAAAAAAAGAAAGGAAAAAAAGCTGCATCAGCGCCAAGTATCTGATAATTGCCCAGAGAAGCTGTGAATGCTCCATCCCTGAAGTGTTCAAGACCAGGTTGGACAGGGCATGGGGCAACCTGGTCTGGTGGAAGGTGTCCCTGTTTGTGGCAGGGAGGTGGGATGAGATGATATTTAAGGTTCCTTCTAACCCAAACAATTATGTGGTTCTGTGGTAATGTTTGTACCAAGGTTCAGGGCTTTACCTGTGTAAGATTTGTACTTTCAGTAAAAATAAAACCCCATCACAGCCCAACATTCAAAGTGTATGTTGTTATAACTGTGGTTGTAGAACTCAAGGGAGTGGGAATAAATAGCTGTAAGAAGTGTCCTTATTGAGGCAAGAGGATTGAGTCTCTGGAGCATCTCTCCAGCAGCCCAGGTAACTCACCGAGGTAAACAAAGTAAGGTGAGAGGATGCTGCCCAGTCTGGAGGCCATGGAACTTGCTCCAACTCCCATGTTTCTTACTACTGTTGGGTAGAGCTCAGCCGTGTAAACATAAACCATTGAGAAGGCAGATGTGATTCCAAACTTGCCCAACATCACCAGTAGAATAGACAGTGCACGGAGATCTGAAATCCAAACACAGCCAGGACTTAGGCTCCTGCAATTCATTATATCCCTTAACTCCTTTGTGTTTGTGTAACTCCTGCCTAATTAACTCCAATACCTGGTGTCTTTTTTCCCTGTAAATATCCACAAACATAAGAAATGTTCTTTTTAAATGTTTTCTTTTTTAAATTACTAAAAATCAACATTTCCATTTTCTCTTGAGAACAGGTCTTCCAGCCAAGTGAAAAATAAGGAGAACAGAGCCAGAACTGCTGAGATCCTCTCAGGATTCAGAAGCCAGACCTCAGCTATTGCAAAAAATGCCATATATGCCTTTTTAATACAGTGAACAAAGTAAGGCATTTGAAACAAATTATTTTATTTTAGTTTTCCTAAACATCTGTTTTTTCATCAACATTCTTAGCTACATTCTTAGTTTCATTAGCGCTCTTAGCTATAATAATTTAATTATAGAGAGTTGAGTTGACTTCAACTGAAACAGTTACAATTTCAAAATCAAAACAGATCGTATCAGTGTCCAATTGCCTCAAAGAACAGGGGAAAAAACCACCAAACCTGAGAATGCAGCACACATATTACCTGTATAAAACAAGCAAGGCAGTACTTGCACATTCTCTTTTATACATCTTTGATTTTTAAGTAAGTCCTAGGCAAAACCTTATATTCAATGTTGTTATCAGTAATGACTCCATAGCCCTATTAATCTAACTGGACTAAAGATACACATGGTTTGAAATCAAACAAATGTTGCTTGGCCCTCCTTCCCAGTAGCTACACGTTATTTCAACTATCAACACTAATTCAGTACAAGCATCTCTGCTTATCAAAAATACTTCCACAATGACTCCATTAAAAGTAATTCTTTAAACAAGCTCTGAAGTCATCAATAGCTGTTTGGGAAGGGAGTTCTGCAGCCCCCTGGTAACTTCCACTTACCAAATTCTGGTTGCTCTAGTCCTGGTTTTACACCTGACCTTACCAGGACACCCTGCCAGAGACATAGTTTAGAGCAGAACTGGGCTACAATTCTAATCCAAACAGATACAAAAAAACAATGATCCACCTTTCAAACTGAAATGAATGTCCTGGTGTGGCAGTTACTTGTACTGAGAACCAAAGAAAAGGGACAAAGACAGGACAACAGTGTCTGTACTTAGTCCCCTCAGGACACTTTCCTCCACATCTGCCCCGTGCAAGGTACTGCACGTCACCTATCATAGATATGCGAGATCAACTAATGGTTCCATACGTGAAGGCACCAGCTGAATGAAGAGAAGAACACAGCCTCCCAAGAATAACGCAGCAGCCATTGAGTACCGTCGGGGGAGGTTGCGGAGCAGCAGCCAGGAGATGATGTAGGCTGGGACTTCAATCACTGCTGAGAGGAAGCAGTTCACATACACGTCTCCGTGCAAGTTAGGCGTGTCAAGAGAAAGTCCAAAATAGCCAACTGAGATTATCATCCTGAAAGAAACAATAGCAGGGTAAAACAAATCTCTCTTCTTCCTCAGGTTGCCATGAACCTCTTCCACATTTCCATCAAGCACAGAAATGGCTGTGTAAGGTAAATTCAGCATCTGGCAGACTTGTTCACTTCTAAAGCAGCTGAAGTGCTGACTTCAGAAACAGCAAGTTAACAATTAAACCATGCAGATGCTTTTGATCTTTCAGACTGCTCTTGAATTCAAATAAAAAAATGTATTACCCTGGGAGGAAAGCGATGACCATTCACACTGCAGTAATGCAGTAGCTGCCATTACTATTGTTTATAGCCTTAACCTGAAAATCTGAGCTACTGAATTTTACTGCTGCTGAGGCCTACAGCAGCTTTCCACTATGTTTACCAGGGAGCTCTGGGTGGAGAGCATTGTTTCTGGGTCATTATGCTCCATGCTTTCTGTATAAAGTCAGAGAGGAGGAGTATGTTATCCTGGCAGGCCCAAACAGCCCGTGAGCTTCTCTGCCATGCTCCAAGCTGGCTGGGCAGCATCCAAATCACACTGGCATGGCTGGTGCCTGGGCTGGTCAGTGCATCACAACAGAGCTTGGTGGCTGGATCACTGCCATCTCAAATTTGTGCCAGATGACAGCTGGCTTCCATGTAATCCAGAGAAATACACAACTGGCCTTGGAGACCAACTCTGTCCTGTCTTGGGAGGTGCTGGGTAGAGAAGGTTAAGCTTTACAAACTAGTATAAAATGGTAAATAAGGAAATAATGGGCAGTGGATCAGGGCATGTCCAGGTGCAAACATGAGGCACAGAACAGTTGGCACTTCATCTCCACCAGCATCTGCCTTATAACAGAACCTGGAGCAAAACCACTGCACAGCACCAAGTGCACCACTGACAAAAGATGAGCTCACTGCATATTGGAAGAGCTTTCATGGTCCAGTTGCTTAAAATAAAGCTGCTTAGTGTACCTGGGAAAGCATGAAGTGACACAGCTGAGAGTTACCCCCTGCTGCTGCGGTGCCCTGCCCTAAGAAGAATGGCTGTTCTTCTCAGAAGTAGTTCTGCAGTGTTTTACACACCGTGTGCTCCTTGGAGTTATTTTTATATACAAGCTGTAGTGCTGAAACTCCCTTTTGGTAGCAGATTGCCTTAGCTCATTACATTGGCAAACCTTAATATAGTTATATATTTTGTAGAAAAACTTCAGTGGTATTTACACATCCTAGGGTGCCAAGAAGCCAAACTTCTTCATCCCTGGTGCAAACCCTGCAAAGGGAATAGTTTAACGGCCTGTTACTTAGTCAAAATTAACAAAACACTCAGCACTATGTAAAGCTGATATATAGCTGTCTGCAACTATCCTCTTCTATATCCCTTTTTATGTGAGAACTTTTAATTCATGATACAGAATACACCATGGGCTGGAAAAGTATGTGCTGTGAGGAAGCACAGGGTATTATATCTTTATATATTGGGAAATTATTTTGAAGGAGATTAGGTCACTGATATACAAATTAGAATTGTGAAAAAATTCCCCAACTTAACCAAATGCTTTTCTGCAAGAGGAGGTAATAGTGTGCAAGTCAACTACAGCTCTATGACTCGTCCTGCCTATCATAAAACTTGATTTTTGATGTGGTAAAAAGCCCTTCAGGATGGGTTATTGAATGCAATAGAATGGATTACATACTGTCATGTCAGTGCTTCTCTCAGTTGCTTCATCCTACCAGAAATGCTGGTTCAATTCAAACCTGGGTTTGAGGTTTTGCCTTTGATTTCTACAACCACACACACAAACCTGGCTGTGCCCAGGAGCTACTGCCCCACATCAAGCAGATGACGAGTAGGACAGTCTCACTTCCAATCAAAGATGAGAGACTGGACTTGAGCAGTAGGACATTATAGACATTTGACATTTCTGCAAGGAACCAATATTCTTTTTGAGCTGTTTTTTTGCACAAGTTCCCTTCTCAGTGTGTTTTTTGCCTTGTGCCTGGTGATGGGCCAGAGAATCTGGCTTAAATATAAGCCAAATCATCCTTTGACCTACGATGCCACATCATCTTGTATGTGCTGGCAGGTCAGTGGGCTGAACTCTGAGGCTCTGCCTCACTAAGGAAGATGAAACATTGCTCAAAAAGACAGCATATAAACTTAGTTGGCTCCCAAGCACTTGAGGGACCTTCTTGGTTTGGTCATTAGGTACACTCACTAATTAAACCTCACTTGTACAGCCTCTTGCAAGTTTTCAGTTACCCTCTCTGTTTACAGCTTTACTGAAATTTCTAGTAAAGGAAAATAACCACCTTTTAATCAAATTGAGCACAAAGCATGGCTTCAGCTACTGAAAACCAAGCTAAAGACGACAAGTAGAGAAAGCAGATGGCAGGAAAATATAGGGAAATCTCAGATGAGAACTTAAAAGGCAGCATTATCCCTCTAAGAGACAATACAAAAGAAATTGAAAGATTCTCCCCTAAGTCAGGCATCATGTTCAGATCCCTGGGCAGAAGTTCTCTGACTGGGGGTAGGGTATGACTCATTCTTCTAAAAAGACTTTGTTACAGCCAGAAGAGGGATCAGGCAGCATTCCCACACATCCATTGCCAGCTGTTTGGATTCTGGCTCAGTTCAGGATAAGTCCGACTGTTTCAGAAAGGAACACCAACCCAGATGTGTTTCTACACTGTCACCAAAATGAAGAACCTATGTAACCAGAATGTTGTTGTTTCAGCCAGCTAGTCATTGATTTTTGAGCTGGTTTTGTCTGTATCTCTTCAGAATACCTTAGTATTTAAAGCTACATACTCCTGAATCACACTTGCTTACCAAAGAAGCACTGACATAATTGTGATAGTTAGGATATTTCGAGTTCTCATTAGATCCAAAATGGTGTATGTCTGTTGCTTCTGGGAATTCACATCTTGTAGCTGTAAAAGAGTAAACAACAAAACATGGGAACTTTAACTTCCTGCAAATTAACGATTATGAAACTAAGTCCTACCACCAACTTATACCTCAGTATTTTGATCTGCTGAAAGAGACTTCTAACAAAACACATGTAAGAGCCAACTACTTGTGAAAGTAGAAGCTCCTCTCTAATTTAAAGTCACTTAAAATTTAGACTGAAACTCTTAAGTCTAATGACCAGTGACAGGACTCAAGGGAACTGCATGAAACTGAGTCAGGGAATGTTTATGTTGGGTATCAGGGAGAGGTTCTTCACCCAGAGGGTGGCTGGGAACTGGAAAAGGCTCCCCAGGGAGCTGGTCACAGCACCAAGCCTGACAGAGCCCAGGAAACACTTGGACAATGCTCTCAGGCTCTTGGTGTGACTCTTGTGCAGGAATTGGACTCAATGATCTGTGTGGGTCCCTTCCAATCCAGCACATTCTATGATTGTATGGTAATAATTTTCTTTGCCTGAGGCTTCACAAAACAACTGCTTTTTGTTACTTGAATTATTAAGCAACAGCATTAATTCACGATTTATATGTCACTACTGGAAGGGCTCTTACATCCAGTTTTGAGCACTGCACCTGGAGAATCAACTGCACTCAGACTAGAAGAGAGCAACAAGGATTTGAAAAAAAGTACAGAGTTTCTTTAGCCTAAGGGCCAGAAGACCAAGGACATCTTAAAAGACACAAAATAGTCTTCAAATATCAGGAAAACAAAGTGATAAAGTGTCCTCTAGTCCATTGCAGACCGCAGCAACAATTAACAAGAATTGCTGCAATAAACTGCAGGAGGGCAGAGTTAGACAATGACTACTCGAGCTGGATTCAAGAGTAATGTGTTTAAATTGAGACAAACTGGCTAATGAGCTGAAGAGTGCCCATCATTATCCAGTCTCTGTTTGAGATTATCTTCTAAGAATATAAACAAAAAGACAACAATCTTCTCCTTTCCCCATTAAACTTTCCAGCCACTCAACATAAAATCACTCCCATATAAACAATGCAAGGGTATTCATCCACAAAGTATGAAAACAAATTCTCTGCTTGGTAAGACTGAAAAAATTTTTCTTTTTTTTTTTTTTTAAATTTGGACTCTATTTAGACTCCTAATGAGGGGACCAAGGTAAAGATTTTTCAAAATATAGAAAAGGTGATTTTAAGAGGACAAATTCCATTGATTAAAACTATCAGCTCTGATAAAGAAACCTGGAGTTTCTCTAACCTCTGCAGTAACATGAAAATTCTTTCCAAATGATAGTTGGTTCTGAAGGTCTGGATAATGAAATAGCAGTCTGGTACACACCAAATTTCTGTGTATTTGCTTTAATCAACCTCATTTTCTACAAAAGCCAAACAGTCCTTTACCTTTGATAGCTTTCACTCTGCCTGAAGTCAAACTTACATCACACAAACTGTAGTCATTTCACAGCTCACAGCCCTTTCTCATAAATCACATGATCTTCCCACATGCCACTATTTGTTGCCAAGAAATTAGAAGGAAAAAAAAAAAAAAAAGAAGAAGAAAAAACAAGCAAGCCATAAAACAAACCATAAAATCAGGAAGAGAAAAATTCAGTAAGGTGATGAGAAAAAGGGTCCTTGCCTTCTAAAAGCTGGATAAGCAGACAACATAATCTTTACCAGGACAGTCTCAAACAAGATGCTATGACAGAAGGGCAGGGAAACCAAAATGATGGTTTGAAATTAAACCTATTATCCAAACATTTCTACCCCTTCTTAACCAACCAGGCCCTATTTGTGCTCCACAGCTGTTTTGTGATTCATCATCTGCTGGACCTCAGCTGGCTAGAAATCTGTGGAGTCAAAATTCTGCAGTTGCTGCTCTCCAGCTGCACAGGCTTGAGGGACTCTCCAACCCTAAGCTTGGGTGGCTGCTCCATCCCAAACACACATTCCAAATGAGGAAGGCAAAGGGCCAGCCACATTTCTGAGAACCTCTCTGCAGTATAAACATGCTTCCTAAACCCTCACAAGGCTGTAAGCCTTCTGCTTTCCAGCTTTTTGAAGAGCAGACACAAGAACAGCATAAATACACCACTGATGCAGACGAGTTCTGCACATATCTTTTGGCCACAATATTACTTTTGCCTTAGAAAGCAAAAAGATGAACAGGAGTTCTGCACGTCCATCAAGCTCATTTTCCTTTGATGGTTAGAAAGTTTGTATGTTTTGAAAGCTGATGTGCTAATGTCTCCACAGTCTCCAGCCCAACCTGCTGCAACAGCAGCATTTCCCCTTGTCCAGCATTTCCCCTTGTCCAGCATTTCCTGCGACAAAATCCCTACTCTTGCCCCTGCCTTCTGCTCCTTCACTATCCATCCCCATTCAGAGACAGCAAACACATCAGTGTTTCTTTCTAAGAACAAGAGAGAAGATTCCAGGAACAGTGATCTTAGGCAGATGTTGGAGCCAGAGCTTATCTTCTATTCTGCTGCTGCAGCGCTGGCAATAGATGAGTTTTCATGGCTACAGCATAAGAAAGAAGAAGAAGGAAAAAATGTATTCTAGCGAAGATCCAGAGGAAAAGGTATCAGAGGGAGTGTGTTTTCTTGGCATTCTTACTCTGTTCCAGTAAGAGCGGGATGTTTGCCCTACTATCTCTGAATAAGTCTGCACAAAGAGCTTTGTCTGCATCTCAGCTGACTTCAGCACCAGGGAAGCTGTATCAATCTCAGGAGCAAACACCTACAGCTTAATGCCTTCCCATTCTCCTTAGCCCAGAACAGAGGCATTGTAAAGCAAATGAGTATATTATACTCATTATATATATTATATGTACTGTCACTTAAAGGACTGGACTGGTTTGGCATGGCCTGGTTTTTCATGCAGGGGGGCTACAAAGGTGCCTCCTGTGGGAAGCTGCTGGAAGCTTCCTATCATGCCCAGCAGAGTCAATCCCTGATGGCTCTGAGGATGCTGCTGGCCAAAACTGGGCCAATGAGAGAGGCTGGTAATGCCTCTGTGATAACATATTTAAGAAGAAAATCAAAGTGAGACACACACAATTTTTCTTCTGGCCAGATAAGAGAAGGAGGTGAGAACATGTGAGGGAACAACATGGAGACACCAGGTCAGTGGAGGAGGAGAGGAGGTGATCCAGTGAAGACCCAGTGGAGAGAGAGGGCCCTGCTCCCAGGCTGGAGCAGCCTGTCCTTGGAGGACTGCACCCCACGGAGAGAGAGACCCACGCCACAGCAGTCTGGGGAGGATTGCTGCTCGTGGGGGCGGTTCACGCTTGCAGCAGGTGTGGTTTGGCTGCTGCTTGTAACAGTGGAGCCACACTGGAGAAGTTCACAGAGGTCTCCTGTGGGATGGACCCCACAGCCTCACAGGGGAGGGATTCCTCTCCCTGAGCAGTGGGAGAAAATCTCGGTGATGACCCGACCAAAACCCCCACAACCATCTCCCTGTGATGTCAGTGGGAAGGAGGGAGGGGCTGTGGGGAAGAAGTGTTTTAAGGGTTTATCTTGCTTCTCATTATCCTCCTCTGACTCTGTTAGTACTAAATTCACTTTGCTACTTTTAATTGAGCCTGTTTTACCCTTGAAATATTTTCCCCAGTCCTTATCTCACTCATGAAACCTTCGTTAATTTTTTTCCCTCTCTACTGCTCAGCAGGAGGGGGTGAGTAAGCAACTCTGACTCTGTGGGTGCCTGGCATTGGGCCAGTGTTAATCCATCACAATCACAGGACACTTTCAACTGTCAACCAACAACTGCCCAGACGGATTCTGGAGATCTGTCGGTGTGCCCATTCTCCTGGAATACACAAACAGTTTGTCTGTCTTGACTTTCTGAGGTCATGTTTGAATGTCTATGGAACTGCTTCTACACCTTAAGGGCACACTTCAGCTGAAAGGGAAGATTTACAGAGAAAACAGGAGCATGTAGGAAGAAAGAGATAGGAAAGATACCTGTCACTACTTCGCCTGAAAGGGACTCAAGTTTTGCTTTCCCTCATGTGGATTAGAAATTGAGGTAGAGTATGAACTAGATTAACAGTATTTCCAATGTCACTGGCCAGGATTAGCCCTGTGTCATACAGTTATATTATAGACTGAATAAGCACAGAATCTGTTTGGAGCAAATATTTAAGTACCTCAAATTCATTATCTTCCCCTGAAAAAGAGAGTTTAAAAGGAAAAAGGGTGGCTATAAACTGGATGAAGAAGATGTTTGCATTAGAATGCATGTTGGCATTCCTGTGGGAACAGGACCATGAAGGCTTTGCAATGAAGGGAAAGGGTATTGTGCTTTTCAGCAGAAAACAATGATCTTTCACCCAATTGAGGAGCACATAATGCAGCGCAGGCATAACTCCATTCATCTGTATGGAATTCATTGCTTTACATAAAGTCCAGCAAACAACTAGACTGCTAAACAAGTCTTACCTCACTAGGGTCAAATATTACATCTGGGGCTGTAATGCCATTAGTTTTTGCAGCTTTTCGGATGATGTCTTCTGCCTCCTGAAACCTCCCCTGGGAGATCAACCACCTCGGAGACTCTGGAATGACCCTGCAGAGAAGGTTCAGAATAACAAGCCTGCATTTCCATAGAAAGAACTGCTGAAGGGACCAACACATTGTTCCAGGCAACAAGATCTTTAAACATGCCACATCTTGCAGGAATTAGTGCAGTGACAACAGAAATCAGATTTACAACAGCAGACTAGTGAAAGGAACAAGACCAGACTAATATGTCCTTATGGATTTCAGAAGTACTGAAGGAATTAGCAGTGACTCAGGAAAAAAGAGCAATCCAAACATTCCAAGTATGGCATTAATTTAAGAAATTCAGAAATGTGAACACAGAAGCAGCATGCTGTAGGTTAAGAAACACATACTTAGAGGCTAACACATATAAAATTAGTAACTGTAAATTCTGTGACAGAAAGGCAAATCAGAGAGCAGAATTCCCCAGTCATTGGATTGCATTAGAACCGAGATGATAGCACAAACACAACTGCTACTGTAAATGAAGCAACACCACCACCACGTGGACTATTTCAGCTTTACATGCCACTCAAAAGTAGTACTTAACAGCTACAGAAGAAAACACAGAAGTGCCACAGCTGTAGCTTGTCATAGCTGTGTCACCCTAACAATGCCCAAAACAACTGTTTTTTCCTTCTGCCCTGTGGATTTCAGTTGGTGCAGAAGTATGAGTTTTATTAATTTTTTTTTTTTTGCTTTCTTTGCATGTGCAAGACATAATTTTACAGAACATGAAGAGTAGGTTTTTTGGGCATCAGTCACACCACATACAACGCCATGGACTGACAGCTAAACAACTGGGTGAGTAAAGGACACAACATCATTCTTCACCCACCCATTCCTGAATTTCATTAGCTTCATCATCTTAGAAATCTGCAGACAGGACCTTCTAAAGGGCAAAGCCTTTCAAGTCAGTTGTACTCACCACCAGAGCGGGATGCAGAGCAGCCCGGGCAGGGTGAGTGCCAGCAGCAGCATCCGCCAGTCCCGGATGAAGAAGGCGAACAGGGGCAGCAGCATGTAACCAAAGGCGTAAAAGATGCACACACCCAGCGTGCAGAACAGCACACGGACTGACTTGCCAAGGATTTCTGTGCCTGCTCAAAACAGCAAAGGGATTATTAGCATTTTCACTTAATAGCAACCAAGTGACTTAATAAAAATGCCCCTAGCAATTGGCTTTGAAATGCACTGCACTGCAGAGTTGCAGGACGTAGCACTCTGCTGTCTAGTTGGAGAGGCACCACAAAGCTGCTTCATGCTGTGATCCTGCACCAGTGGAGGTAATTATATGTGTAAAAGAATGAGAACTGGGCCATGTAGCATTTCCGTAGCTCAATATGTAGCTTTTATTTCTGTAATTTTATCTTTTTAGCATCTCACATTTTACCTGAGGAGCTGAAATCACCTGACATTCTCAGTTAAACGTAGCTCGATGTCCAGAATCCTCTCCAGCTTGTGAAGAGTGACCAGCTTTTTTAAAGAATAATTCAAATGTGCCTCAACTAAGTTCCCAACCTGTATCACCTTCTAAAAGACTATTTAGTCAAAATTCTCAGTCTTTTGGGCTAGACATATAGAATTCATGTTGGCCACAAAGACCAGACTACTGCCAGGGGAATTAAATGCATGGACAGGGGTAAGTGCCTCCTCTGAAATGTTTTGGGACCTGCAAATCAAGAGACAGAGGAAAAAAACCAATCTTTCTTGTTTCCATGGAAATTAAAGAAGATGCCAGCAGTTGCAGCAGGCTATGTGCAGTGAGGTTAGCTAAGTACTGCTTCCACCCCTGAACTGGCCTTCCTTGGCTCAGAAATAATTTCTTGCCACCATTTGGTATTTTGGACAGTGAAGTCACTGTAAATAACATTAATTTTTTTTTTTTTAAAATCTCAGATTAATGAGATAATTCACATTCCCATGATTAAATATGGTCTTAGTTAGCTTGAAAGTATACAACCAAAAGTCATGATGACATTTAATTTTTATATAGGCTGTTTAAAGAAGACTTTATAAAAATTACTCTACCTATCTTGGTTCTTTTGCAACTTTTAAATTAAAGAAATGGACATCAGAAATCCCAGAAAAATCATAGAATCATGGAATGGTTTGGGTTGGAAGGGACCTTAAAGGTCATCTAGTTCCAATCCCCAAAAAATCATGTCTCACATGTATTATCTCTTCCACTAGAAGACAGACTTTATTTCAAAGAGTCAGTTTCTGGGATTTTGCCTCTTTTAGGATGGTAAACCATAGAAATAATTCAAATTGCACCTCTATCAGCTGGAAGCTTTCAAGGAGAAGAGAAGTTACTCATGCATGGTGAGGCCACACTCTTAACAGTGTTGCTTGGCAAAACAAACCAACCCTAAGTCAGTACTGAAAAGGAGCAGGAAAAGCACAAGATGAAAGGACACATGCAGTGACCAGCAGGACTTTCATACCAAGAACAAATGCTGCCACGTAGTTAGATATCTGTCCCATGCCAACCAGCACAAACAACACTGAAAACATCTCCCAGCTGGTAGAGAAGACCTGTATGAAACTGAAGCCAGTCTGCATTGCCAGAGTTGCAAACAGCACATTCTTCCTGCCAAACCTTCCATGGACAGATTAAAAAAAAAGAAAGAGAAGAGGAAAAAAAAATGTGATTAAACAACATAATGAACAAAATCTACAGAAACAGAAAAATAAAATTACTTATAAGCATACTTAAGGAGATACAAAGCGTCTGCAAAAAACAGAGGTTCAGGAAATGTGACACAGGCACAACTATTCTAAACACATTAAAAATATCACTGGCCAAGAGAAAATAATATTCTAAGGGCTGCTAGTTAAGTCACCTTCAAGTATGTGCTGGAACACTATTCCTTTCTTACAGGTAGTATGAGCAGTGAAACAAACCATCAGGAATAAGTTACTTGAAGTGCAAGAGCATCCAATGCTTCTCCTCCTCCAAGGAGGACATGGTCCCTGAGAGATCAACAGGTTAAAAAAAGAAAAATAAGAAAGCCTTATGGAAGAGAGGCAAACCTCAGATTTGGAAAATGCTATTGGCAGTCAGTGATCCTGTGCCACAATCTTCATTGCCTTTGGTTTAAATATGAACAAATTAAGGGATTGTAGAAGACCTCATGATGAAGTACTAACAAATCCCCAAAAACCAAAGAGAAATTAAACTAAACTCAACCTGTCAAACTGTTGTAAGAGTGTTTGCTGGGGCCCAGGCAGCCCCACACTGCAGGGACAGGATGTCTGAGTGCAGGTTTCACAGCTCCAAAGTCCTGCTGACCTGCAGCTCTACAGCTGGTGTTCTGGGCATCAGGTGGGTCACCACACACAAAGAACAGACTGTTACTTGAAACCCCCAAATGTTTTGTCAACCTTCATGTCTCAGGCTCGTTGCAGTGCAGAACACTGCAGGCAGCTTTGCTGGAGCATTCTCCTCATGAAGAGAAGGAGCTTGCTGTCCCTCAGTGGCTACAGGTAACTAGATGGGCTGCATGGATGGCCTCACCTGCGCCTGCTGAGGGTCTGTGCTACCAGGGGAAGGAGCTGCAGGAGCCTGCCAGGAGTGTGAAGGTGGGAAGCTCTTGGATTCTGGCACCAGAACAGCTCCTGCTTCACCTGCCAGGTAGCCATCATGGGAGACACTCGGGATCCTTGTAGCAGACAAGGAGCTCTTTGGAAGGAAGCACCTGAACCTTCTGAAGCAGCAGCACCAGGGAAAGGTGGTGAGAGACACACAGGGAAGAGGGGAATCACCCCTCATTCCCTGACGTGGGAGGGTAGCAGGAGGCCATGGAGCTCTGCCTGGAGTAAGTGACAAGCCAGCTGGGATCAAGAGTTGGGATTAGCATGGGTGCTGGTGTCTGCTGCAGCCACCTGCTCAGAAAACAGCAACCAGGACCTGCTGCAGAGCACCACAGGAGACCTCCTCGTGTCCAACGGGCTGGCCATCACAAGGCTTTGAACACTCCAGCACACCACCCAGGAGCTGTCCGGAGCTCATTAGTGATGCCTGCCAGCTGAGGAGCTGACAAGGCAGCCGCTGCTGGACCTCACCAAACAAGGGGCACTGACGGGGTGGGAGGCCAGCAGCAGCCTGCGGGCTCTGCTCTGGGAAAGAGCAGGATTGTGAGGGGAGGAACCAGGCAGGATCACAGAGAGAGCAAACACTGGCCTGCCCTGGGATTTTTTGGACAAAAACCATGGCATATAGCTTTGGAAAGAAGTACAGGAGGCCTGGTTAATTATTAAAGATCACTGTCTCTCAGCTTGAGATTGGTCCAACCTGACAGGCAGGAAACCAGGGAAAGGCCCTAAATGATGCCACAAGATTTGTGGCATACAGATTATGTTTCAGTGAAACAGAAACTTTTCAAGTACCAGCAAATTAGAGAACCATATATTGTTCTCAGGGAATCAGAACGCACACAATGCATTGTACAGCAAATCCCAGGGAGAGAATCAGAAAAACTGAGCTTTACAAAATAAACTGTTGGCATAACAGAAATTAATGGTGCCTTCCTTGTTTTTTAATGTTTGTACTGATAAACAAAAAAGTCTTGCTTCTCTGGAGTACAGCTGAACAGCATTTATGCTTCCACAAACACAGATAATTGGACTTAAATGTTGTAATTTATGATGAGAAAGAGCAGCTATATTTTATAAAAAGAAAAATTTAAACTAAAAAAAAAACCCAAAAACAAGCTTCAGGGATCCCTCTGAACATAGTCCAAAATAAGTAGAAGAGAATGTCATTGATCAGATTTTTCCAGGCAAAACTCATCTCCAATGTTGTTTTCTGGTATAAGAAACCAGTTTGCTGTAGAGTGACTCCGTTGCAAGAACAAGCAGATGTAGATAACAACTGCTAACAATCTTTGTAACATTCTATCCTAGCTCAGCACATTTCCCTACACACTCTGTGCACACTCAGGTTAGACAGCCACAGAACAGACATGTTAGCAGTTGCAGAAAGACACTAGTAGGAAAGCTGGTATACAAGAAATGCCTACAAAGGAACATCAAAGAGCTCTGGTGTATATACTTTACTTGTCTGAGAGCTGTCCCGAGATGAAAGATCCCAGCAGGACACCCACAAAGAACAGGGAGGTGCTCAGGGGTCCCTTCCAGTCGTTGGCACATACGAGATTCCACTGCAGGGAGAGAGAATTGGAAAGTCTTTTAATTAACAGGATTTCCCCTCCCTCCTAAACTCCGCTGAGCTGGGTTTGGAAGGAGTGAGAACAGAATTCAGAATAGTTTGGGCTGTAAGCGGCCTTAAGGACCATTTCATTCCAACCCCCTGGCATGGTAGGGACACCTTCCACTATCCCAGGTTTCTCCAAGGCCCATTCCCACCTGGCCTTGGACACTTCCAGGGATGGGGCAGCCACAGCTTCTCTGGGCCTCCCCACCCTCACAGGGAAGAATTTCCCCCTAATATCCAATATAACCCTGCCCTCTGTCAGTATGAAGCTATTCCCCCTTGTCTTGTCACTGCATGACCTTGTAAATAGTTCCTAAACTTGATCTCCCTGCATATAGTAATGTTAAAGATTCACATTCCTAATTCAAGAAAAATTGAATTATAGCAACAGCAATATAGAAAGAAAAAGCCTTTTTATTACATTTTAATATTGTTTTGAGAGACAGTAGACTGCTCATTCTTCATTGGGAATCTAACTAACCTCAGTTTGAATCTTTGAAATACAACTTGAAATATACACCCAACAAAGATTTCCAAAATTAAAACAAAAATGAGGAATAAAAGAAAATATTTATTAAATAAAGTCTTCAATATTTTTCAAGATCCTACCCACCTCAGTCAGATGTTTTTGAAACAGCACTCATGTTATTTTTCCATCTACATAAACAACTATTATTAAAATACTCTTAGTTCTATTTTGGTTTTCTGGGGGAAGAATGTGTAAATATTAGAAGAAAGGACAAAACCCAGCAGGGATCCCTCCTCCCCTCCTTCACAGCTATGTTCTGACTGGAGGATATAAAACCAGTTTCCCAGAGCTCTCCCAGTACCTGCTGCCAGAGGGCAGGTGCTGCAGCCCTGCAGGAGAGGGACTGGGAGCAACAGATGCTTCTGATGTGAGACCAAACCCTCCTGAGCATAGTTATTCAAACAGCTCCCTCAAGGCCCCTTCTGATGTTTTAGCAATGGAAAATTTTAGGTTTCAATCGTCATTTAAAAGGCTGAAATGAAAACATTCACCCTGACTTGAATAATTAATCCTCTTTGTCTCCCAGTTACAAATAATTGAGTGTATTTTTTTCAATTCATTGAAGGGAACACCCTTCAATGCTTTGATCTGCTCCATAACAAACTGCTGTGTGTTCCAGCTCCCCCATCAATCTCATCCCTAGTCCCACATGGGAATGCTGGTGTCTCACTGTCTGCCAGCCCCATCTCCTCAGCACTAAGCCTTTGACTCCGGGAATCTCACAGCCCTCAGCCTGTTAACAGCCACGCTACAGCTACATCCTAGTCCATGCTTTAAGGCTGGAGGATCACCTAAAACTCTGCACAGAATGAATACCAGCAATGGCCTTCCACTGCCAGATTCCCGTGTCAAAATACAACTGAGCCATCACTTATTCCATGGAATAGCACCCAGTTTTGAATCAGAACTGGGAACTGTTCCAGAGATGAATTATGGTCATTCATACAGGCTACACAATCACCAGCTATCTTTAGCTGCCAGCCCTTACATTATCTTAATATTTATAAGACAGTCATAGTAATTACTGTTTTTAAGGTCAATATGCACCTTTTTCCAATTTGTAACTATATTCACGTAATTTCATAACCTCTCCATTGATAAATCTGTTTGTGATTTTATGTCTGAAAAATCTCTCCATCAGACTTCATAACCCTCAACATTTCCTCCCCAGGCCTTTCCAGCCTCACAGCACCTGGAGCTCAGGTAGCAGCACTGCAGGCAGTGCTCCAGCACATCCCACCACCACCATCGATTAGGCATCATTACAGAAGTTCCTTCCAGAACTGTGGCTTTCTAAGGTGTTAACAAATGTATCCCACTCATGGTAAGGAACTGAACTTAGTACAGTTATCCACATCATTTAGATTATGAACTATAATTAACATTTATAGTTAAATCTGTATTTTTCAACAAAAGCTATACTTCATTATAGATTAAAGAAAGTTTGAGCCTGTCATGACTACAGAGGCTAAGCCAGCTAGGAAGCTTCAGTAAAATATACCTGGCAAGCTGGAAATACCAGTAAATGATTGTTATCAAATTTATAATTTATACAGACCAAAGGTTTCCGTGGTTATCATACGCCTTTATATGACAACACCTACCAGAGAAACAAACAGCACAAATAGAAATTCTGCTGTTATAAAGACTTGCCTACTCACAAAAAGTTCTCTTTGTATCAACTACTGCAGCCAGACATCCTGAGTAACAGAACTAAAGCCTTGGTGATTAGTCTGTCATTACTAAACAGATCACACTTTCCAGCTGATCACCCTGTTCCTGTGAGTCCTCCTTTCATCTGTCCTACACCTGCACTTTGGCACAAGGCTTGAACACTTGGGCTTCCGGACACTGCCATGTTTGTGTCCTATAACAAACATTTTCTTCAGACCACTGAGGTGGAGACCTTTCTTGGAAAAGTTCATGGTATTAAAATGTTTAACACAGCTCTGCCAAAACCTTCTTGCATTGGCAGGTGGAAACATACTGGGCATTCTAATGTGGCAATGATTACCAGCTTGTTTTTCTGGCCTCTGTTAAAGCACAGTGAGGAGCTGTCATGCTGAAGACCACTTGAACCAGGCATCAAAGTGAACTTCAACATCAAATTTCCAAAGCAGAACTACCTTGGTTGTACAATACCAGTTATTTACAGACTCCACAGAAGCACAACAATTAGAGCAAAGGGATTTTAAGGTCTGTTACCCTTTGCCCCAGTAAATAAATGTTGAAGTCTTCAACTCATTAATGACACACTGATAAGGTCTATTTTACTACTTGTCAGTGATGATGGCATCATCCTTCCAGAATCATTTTGCAACCATACCCTTCCCTCAACTGCACATTGTCCAAGAGGAAGTCACCAAGGCAACGCTGCTACATCAGCATGGCAAAGAGCAAGTGTGCCAGTAGTTACTAATCAACTCCTGCTGCTGGTAGTGCTGTTTGGACACAGCATACTGTGACCTAGTATTCTAAAACCATGTGCTATTTTCACTTCTTAGTATCTTCTGAACTAGCCTGATAGCTGTAACAGCCTTTGCCCCAGTGAACAAGATAAGGTTAACCTTGGCAAGGTATTTGGGCTTCAAACAGCAGAAAAACATTCCCACCCTGTTTTCGAAGAGCAGCTGCTGATTTTGAAGCATCAAGTTGCTCAACACTGGTACCCAACAGAACAGAGCATTCTTTATTTTTTTATTACTTTAGGACATCCTCTGTTGCAGTTTAAACTTGTCTTCGTACCCATCTTATAAATATTTTGTGATTTTTCTACTTCCCAGGCCACTCATCAGGCTGGGGTGATGTCTCTCAGCAGCCTCACACCCAGCACAAATGCTCACTTGTGTGCTGGAGCTGAGCTGTGCTTGTGCACCTCCGTAAGCAGATCCTTGGCTGATGCCAGTCGCTGGTGAGGACAGCTGGGAAGAGGGGATGGGGACAAGAGGACAGGCTATGGAGATGGCCAGGAATGTGGACAGCTTGGGTTAGAAGGCAGGGGGACCAAAAAGGAAAGGGACTGAAGCAGTTGCTTCTCAAGGACAGGTTTGGGGCCCAAGTATCAAACAGTCCCAGGCATGTAGAGCCATCACTTACACACCTCTCTAGGAGAGCACTTTCCAAGTTCTGCTTAATCTCTTACATGCCAGCTGCCTGGAACCATGTCTCCAAATCCCTTATTAAAAAGGCAAGCCCGGTGACAAAACTGAGAAGAATAAAAACTCTATAAATTACTCCATCAGACCTCTTCCCTCCCACAAGCTCAAGACCCTTCCCTAATGCCATTACAAGAACCCTAAACAAAGCTGGACTGCGACAAAAATCTTCAAGAGCCTCACCTGGTTATACTCCTGTCCTACAAGGGAGAGTCTTAGAGACAAAACTATTTTTACACCTACAAGATACTGTGTCTCCACATTCCTTTATTTTTTAATATTTCCTGTTTTGCTCAGAATAACATGTATAAATGAAAAATTAAGTGGCTAGTTCCATGTATTAATATTTTCCTTTTAAAAATCAAGACTTTTTGAAGCTGGCCCAGCACCCTGTATTCCCTCCTTCCACTGCTTCTCTTAGCAAGTAGAGGCAGGTTCTTCAAAAAATCTCAGTCCCATAGCCAAGTACTGAGAACCTTTGAAGCTGAATCTGATTTTGTTTATATCCATACAAGTATTCTCTGCTTGTATTCTCTATTGAGAGCTGTGAGTGTTATTAAACACCCTTTCCTCTAAAAACACACTTGTATATTCCAAATACTTAAAAGGTCTAAATGTTACATTGAAACTTATTATCTAAAGCAAACAGAAGTCTGTGTCTACAAAATACACATTCTGCTTAATTTTCACTCCTCTAGTTGTTTTACATTTTTTACAGAGATAAAGCTTGCATAGAACGGGAAGGAAATTGCCAAATATTTTACAATTCCAGTGCAGAAATGGAACTGTTCCCCACACATCACATTTTTGAGACAGCTGGAGAGAAAGGAAACAAGAAATTTTATCTTGTCACTAACTGTCCACAGTGCCTCTAAAAGAGCACTGTTTCCATTTAACAAGATCAGTTGCAGGCCTACTATTCTTTAACAATGCTAATCTTACTTTATGTTGTGATGTCAGAAAGAGCTGTACTTTTTACCGCATTATTACTGTGCTTTTAAAATCACACCATGAAAAACCCAGCATTTTACAAACACCTTTGTTTATTTGTCAGACATTTGTATTTACTTACTAAATGAAAACCAGACTTTCTTTTCCTTCTTCTGACAAGACTAGTAATACTAAGCTTTTGCAAAGCTGCAAACAGCTTTTTCAGCTCCTGGGGCTGCAAAGTTATGAGTATAAACTTCAGCTACAGTGAGAAGCAGATATTAACCCACAACAATAAAAAAGAAGCACCTGTTTTAAAAGATGATAAATGATGTAGGTGACTAACATTAATGAAGAGATGGGTGAGAGCTGAACCTGGATAACACAGGGCTGATTACAATTCAGCTGCTGGCCCCACTCCTGCAACAGCCTGGTCTAAAGGAAGGCGTCCCTAAAGGAAGGGGGTTGAAGTAGATGATATTTAAGGTCCCTCCCAATCAAAAAAACTAGTCTATAATTCTATGACTCTATAAATGACAACGTCTAGCATAAGTCTTTGTTTTTATTTTGGCAAAGTGAAACAATACATCCCTCTGTCTTCCAGCAGGGTGAATGAACATCGAAACCTCTGGATACCCAGCTGTGCCCCAGAGCCCATTGGTGTCCTGCACATGGCACTGCTGCAGTCTCCCCTGGTTTCCTGCAGCCCTGGCATATCCCACTCATCTCCAGGGCCTGTGGTCTGACAGCACAGCAGGGCACTTGAATCCCTGGGGTGTACAGAATGGAAACCTCTGGGCCCTTGTTTCTGCCCAGAACTTTCTCTCTCTGAACACCCAGACAGGATGGAGCACCAGCCCTGCACCTAACCAGCCCCTAGACACCTGGCAATCCCCACCATGTCCATCCTTCTTCTGCAAAAGCCAACAGGCCCAAAAGTTTGCCAACAGCAAAACAGACCAAAACATGCAAATCCAGCATACACCACCTGCACTGATTTCAAGTTGATGAACAATACAACACCTTTTTAGAAACTAAGGATGAATAAGTGTATCCAAAATTCAGCATCTGTTTATGGTTTACTGTTTAAGAATTACTCTTGTGTGAACTAAAATGTTCTGACTGATGTATCATCTAACACCTCATTATATCATATTTCTAGTGCACTCATGCCCTTAACTGCACTGCTCAATTCTACTCCTGGTATAGCCCCATAACAGCTCTGACTGCTAGAAGTTAATATTTTCCCTTAATTACTCCTGGTTTAGTCCTTTTGCTACCATGTATAAACTTTTACTACTCCTACATTCATTTTTTTACAGGACTTATGGAGGAATTAGAATGACACAGTTGGTTTCTTAAGCCAAAATAAAGCCCTTCTTATGCCCTGAGCTACAGTGTTTCAAAAAGTAAAAGACAGAAAAGGGTTTTGTTACACCAGAGCTGGTTAAATACTGCAGACTGGCTAATAATAACCTTCTGTTGTTAGTCCGTGAGAAAAGAAATTCTCTCTTCAAGTGGGAGAGAACTGAATCTTTTAAGTCTCCCCTGAAAAGCAGAACCATAAACAAGGTTTCTCTAAAGTCATGAGAGATTCAGCAAAAACCTTTCTTTTAAAAAAAAAAATCCCCCTTCCCCCTCCCAGTGTCAGTTATGAAAATCTGGGACAAAGGTCCTCATGATTATTCAACATGTTAGAGATATGCAACTAAACACAAGATTAGTTAATCATAAAAGCGGCACCACCAAGCCAAGAAATTAAACAAGTTAAACACTGAAAACCTGTAAGTGTGTGAAAGGCCACAGCTCTTGCAAAACTCCCTCAGAAGCATTCATATTAGAGGAGAAAAAAATACTGCCTCAGTGCATGATGCCTGGGCAGACAAACATTGCCTCCCACGGGCACGGGACATCTGCCAAGTCACACAGACAAGGAGCCAGGGCTGGGCAGTCTCAGCACTGTGTGAGCAGCACCCTTTTCTTATAGACTGTAAAACTCCTGCACCATACTCCAATAGCTCAAGACATTTTAATTAACATCAAGCCAAAGCTGAGTGAAGCTCTAAAGAGAAAGCACCAGACCTAAGCCAGGGACAACCATCATAGCAGAGCACTGAGAACAACACCCGTGTGCCCCTGTGAAAGATCTGCCCCAGAAGATGCCAACTGCCTGACACTGCCCTGAGAGTACTCAGCCTTTCACAACAGTGCATTTCAGCAAAGACTGGAGCTGAGACATTCCCAGCAGCTTTCCTCTCCAGTAAGAGCAATTCTTTAGGAGCAGATGAGGCAATGCCTTGCACTTGTCAGAATCATTCAAACCCTTGATTGAGTTTCCTACGACTCCTGTGTCCCCATTTCTAATCCTCCTTGTGCTGCCATGGCTCCTCTCCCACGTTCCCCAAGTCACCTTAGTGCCCAGATCAGCTTATGGTCATTTAGTACTCACACCCATCACTGTCCAAACACTGATCACAGCCCTATTTGCAAAATAAGAAATCATGGCAGGTTTTCTTATAGAGCTCCAGCTCCATAAAACTCAATGGGACTGTACAAACTCTGTAAGCCCTCTGAAAAAGGCCTACACTTGTATTGAAATTCAAGTATTCTTTAAAAGTACTTCTCAAAATCCATTTCCTTGCTTCTTAAGTCAACCTGCCCCCGTGGGTCTGGACGGCTTTCTTCTGAAAGCAGAGTGACAATCAGCCCAGCTTCACCTTTGGTAAGGTTACGCACAGCCCAGACTTGACGCAAGCGGTGTACCTGCACAGACACAAAACCTGTCTCAGCACGTGAGCACAAAGACCAAAGCAGAGGCACTGTGGGCACACAGCAAAGTTCAAAGTCCTTTGAATAAAGCATCAAACCAGACCTCCCCAACCCATGCATCTTGCACAACTCAGGATGATGCTCAGGATGAGAGTGGTGACACATTGGCACAGGCTGCCCAGAGAAGCTATGAATGCCCCATCCCTACAAGTGTTCAAGGCAAGGCTGAACAGGGCTTGGAACAACCTGGTCTAGTGGAAGGTGTTCCTGCCAGGGGGCTGGAACCAGATGCTCCTTAAGGCCCCTTCCAACACAAACCACCCTGTGATCCTGTGACTTCCACCACCTTTATTTTTTTAAAGAAAGAAAATAAACACAAAACTTGATGTTCAAAGAGACATCTCTGTCACACCAAGCTGAACCCAGTACTGACCCTGCTCCAGCCCCTTGCACAGATACCTGATGAACCAAGAAGATTTGCAGTGTGACCAGTTTTGCTGGATAAGGAAACAGGCTGCACTCGGAAGCTCATTATAGAAACAAACAATGTTAAGGGATTGGAATGGACCTTATAAAGATCATCGAGTCCCTGCCACGGACAGGGACACCTCCCACTAGAGCAGGTTGCTCAAGGCCTTATCCAACCTGGCCTTGAACATTGGAGATCCACAACCTCCCTGGACAACCTGTTCCAGTGTCTCACCACCCTCACTATAAAAATTTCCTTCCTCGTTCTTATGCAAATGACAGTGAGCAGAAGACCCCAAAATAAACTCGGCATGGCAGGTTTAGCAGCAGATCAATGAGCCGGCAGAGAGCCCAGAACGCGGCGGAGCTGCACCGGCACTGCGATAACCCCACGGCTCTCCCGGCACGCCGGGATTCCCCTCCCGCTCCCGCGCACCTCGGTGACGATGGTGGAGCGATAGACATCGCGGCTGTACTCCCAGCCGTCCAGGCACGGCTCCAGCTCCAGCGCCTCCAGCTCCACGTCGGAGCCGGGTCGCAGCCCCAGCGCCGAGAAGTTGGCGAGCGCGGCCAGGCGGTAGCGGCGGCAGCGGCTCGGCACCTCCTGCCCGCCCCGCAGCTCCAGCGGGATGCTGGCGTTGCGCCACTCGCCGCTCAGGTTGGCCCCGCGGGGCACGACGCACCGGTGCTCGGGCGTGCCGGCCAGGAACACGATGGAGAGGCCGTTGAAGCCATTGGGAATGATGCTGGCGCTGAGCAGAAAGAAGACGAGGCGCTGGAAGAGGCCCCATTCGCCCAGGAAGGCGGTGGCCGCGTCGTAGTCGCGCATGGCGAGCGCGGCCGAGCTGCGGTGCCGCGGCTCCGAGAGGCGCGGGCAGGAAGCGGCCGCCCCGCTCGGCCGCGCAGCCCCGCGCCCGGCTCGGCCCGGCCCGGCCCGGGGGCGGGCCCGGGGAGGCCGCACCGCCCGGCGGGGAGGGCCCGGGGCGCTCCGCCCGGAGGCGCGGCGGGGGCTCGGCGGGGCCGGGCCTGGCCGGGCCGGGCGCTGCTCCCTGCCGGATGTGCCACACGCGGCGGGGCGGCCCCGGAGCCTGCCCGGCCCGGCCCGGCCCGGCCGCTGCTCCCGGCCCTGCACCCGGGCGCTTTGCAGCTCCCGCCCGGCCCAGGGCTGCGGGACAGCTCCCCTGCCCTTTGTACCTTGTAGTCAGGAACGACCATTAATACAGGCGTCGGATCTCTCACTTACTGCCTACAGAAGTCCAAAACCAAAGTGGAGGTGAATTATAGTCAGTGAGGTTGGAAAGGACCCCGCAGATCATCTCGTCCAACCTATGACCGAACAGCATCTTGTACATCCCATGGTGTCACCGAGTGCCACGTCCAGCCTTCCCTTAAACACCCCCAGGGGCCGGGACTCCGCCACCGCCCGGGCAGCCGGTTCCGGCAGCGCCGCCCGGGCTGCCCGCATTCCCTTCCCGCATTCCCTTCCCGCATTCCCTTCCCGCATTCCCTGCCCGCATTCCCTGCCCGCATTCCCTTCCCGCAGTGCTGCCCGGGCTGCCCGCATTCCCTTCCCGCATTCCCTTCCCCCAGCGCCCGGGCTGCCCGCATTCCCTTCCCGCATTCCCTTCCCGCATTCCCTTCCCGCATTCCCTTCCCGCAGTGCTGCCCGGGCTGCCCGCATTCCCTTCCCGCATTCCCTTCCCGCATTCCCTTCCCGCAGTGCTGCCCGGGCTGCCCGCAGCCCCACGCACACGTGTGAACCTGCCCGGGCTTCTTCGGGAACACCTGCTCTGGGCTCAGTACCACGTACGAGCCAGGAGGCTGCAGGGATTGCTCTGCTCATCAAAGCACGGCACTGCTGCAAGTTCAGGAGTTAAAGGGTTCCTCGTGTCACTCTGTAGGCGCCTTCCCACAGCTGCTGTTATCCCTTCAGCAGGCTCAGCTAAAGCTATAAAAAAGCTTTCCTGACCCTGACACTATTTTCTCAGGCAATGCATACTACATGCTTGACAAATAATAAAATTAATAAATAATATTCTAATCCCAGGCCCAAAATCCCAGCTCAGTACCTAGTGGTACTGGCAGGAAGTTCACAGGGTCCCATACAAGGCAGTTCAAAAGCTGAATTGTATGACTGCAGAAATTTGATCCCGCTCTTCATAAGGCTAACTCACATTTTCAAGTGTCTTCTTTTTCCCACCTCTAACTGATAAAAAAATTAGTGTACCTTTTACAGCATTTTTGAACTCTTGTATTTAACATGATCTGTTATCCCAGTTGGAATCACACAGCTGTGAAAAATCTCAAAGGTGGAAAATGAATGACATAACAAGAGTTAAATCACAAAATCATCCTTGAGCCTGGCCGGGGTCAGCTTCCAGGGATTTGCACCTGAAAGACAGAAAAACTGTACCACACCATTATAATCTTGATGTGTGGAAGAACTTAGTGAAAGAGCTTATTTCAGGATTTTTTTTCATGCCAAATCCACACTAAATAATTTTAATTATTTATTTATTTAAAATTCTTGGCACACAAGTGTTTATGTTCAGAGACCTGCTCTTCAAATAGAATCCACACAGGAAGCAGGTTGAAACAATGTCAGTACACATTTTTATTGCAATGGAAACAGAGGGTGATGACTGACAATTACTACAACTTCATATTGTTATTAGCAGACCCAGCAAGTCAGCTGAGGATGCAAGGTTGCACAGAGAGACCCCAGTGAAGGTGACAGAGGTTACAGATGAGGCACAGGGTGATGACCCCGTCAGTGAGAACAATCCAGCTGGGGCTTCCCTCATATCCACTATGTTCAGACTCCATAAGGCCTTGTAACAACATCACATAATTTTAATAAGCACATTCCACTCCCCTGAAAGATTATTAAATCTGCTGCAAAAAATACTAAAATGTTAGCTTGAGATCAATGGTTTAAGTAAGAAAAATGAGACTGGTTAAAACATGGTATTTTAAATACACTGTACTTTTTCTTATTTAAAAAAGGAAAAACAGATTTTAAGATACAGGAAGGTTCAAGAGTACAAAAATATTTACCTTTAAGAAATACCCAAGCCTACAATTGCATAAAATAAGTCTCAAAATAACAATCTTCATAAAAATATGGCCACCTGTATTTAACTCAAGTCCTCAAACATGTCCTATGCTGATAAAAAGGCTTTCTTGAGAAATTTAGTTACATCTAAACAGTACTTCTTTAGATTAACTCTGTAAAATAAAAGCAAAATTAAATACTGCTGTTAATAGAGAAATTGACTGAGAAGGGATGAGAAGATCAGGAGTCACAGGTTCCCTTATGCCATGTTACATTTATGGCAAAAGCAGAACTGCAGGAAATTAAAAATAGTATTTCAACTCCCAAAAGCAGCTTGAGTTAATTGCACAAGTTCCTTGCATTTGTTATAAAGCTTTATATTTGTGCTTGAACTTCAGGGAGAGCCTCATTCTTGTGCCAAGAGCCAGCACAAGACAATCTACCCTGAACTCAGGCATTAGAGATGAGACACTGTGCTTTTGTCAGCCCTTATAGAAGGTGAATCAGGGCTAATTGTTATTTATAGAAGATAAAAATCAGTCTATCAGGTCTGAAAGACTTTAAGTGACTAAGAAGTGCATATACAGCCAATAAATACAAAACTAAGAGGAATTACTCTCTTTAGGCAATTTAGTGTTCATAAAACAGTAGTAGCACAACTCTGAGTTCTACGTTTATCTTCATCCAATCTAGCTTTGCTGAACTCAAAAAGACCAAAAAAACCCCAAAACATACATAATCTGTAGGATCTGAAAAACAAAACACTGGTTTTGTTGGGTTTTTTTTTGGGTTTTTTTGGTTTTTTTTGTTTTGTTTTTTTTTTTTTTAATATAAAAACCTCTGTGGTCCCAAATTAGTAATTTGGAATTTTTAATAGCTGCAGACGGACATATCCAGTACAGAAAATCAGGTTTTTGTGAGCATCGAATTGCCTTTAAGTTTGTAAATTTTAAAAAGGTTTTGTGAAAGCTTCTGAAACTACAGTGAGGGTTCTCTGAAGGTGCAGAACAAAGTGGTATATATTCAAAGGAGAAATTAAATACTTTGGGAAAAAGAAAAAACAACACCCCAAGAGAGCTAAAAAACAGCTTATGCCCATATACCACGAAAAACCTGAAAGCTATGATGCATGGCACGTTGGGATAGGATCATGGACTTGCTACAGATGACTTTCCTGTTGAAAGTGGGTGTGACCCACCAGAAAGTCAGCAAATTATAGTCCTTACTCAGTGCTCAAGATTTTCCCCCTTCCCCAAAGCCACTGAAGATTCACAAAGCTGAGGGTTCTGGGTGGGCTCAGGCTTTATGAAAGAGCAGCAGCTTTTACAGGAACAGGGGGATCCCAGGTCCTGGGAAAAGCAAGTGACATCTAAAGCCACTCTGAGGGTATGTTTAAAACCCGTGTCCTTACAGGGAAGTCTGTCTGCTCTGCTACAAATGAATTTTGACTTCACTTAGTCTATGGGCTTTGGTCACAAATTTCAAAGGAGGCCAGGATCTTTCCTTCAGGTTTTGAAAGGCAGACACCCAGCTTCCCTTCCTCCAGTCAACACACAAAGTGAGAAAAAACACCAGCATTAGGTTTGCTAATTATTTTTTTTCCCCTTTCAGCATCTTTTATCGAGTACCTGACTTCCTGGAGTCACTGCTGCATTATTTCTAAGGCTCCCTTCCAGCTTACTCCTTGAGACAGACCCCCGTTTCTCAACAGGGGCTGTGTCTGCTGACAAAGGCCAGGGACCAGGACACAGTGACAGGCCAACAGTCCTACAGGAGCAGACAGCACTGGTCAGTGTACTACAGAATTTGGGGACGGCAGCACAAGGGATGACAACTATGGTGCTGTTGGGTTTTGTTCATTTTCCTCTGGCGGCAAACGCATTTTGAGATGATTTTGTTCTTCTTTCAGCCCCTCTGAGAGGTGTGTCTTTCTTCACAAAGGTGTTATCAGACTTTTAGGACTCTCCTTGGAGCTCCTAATGCCAGTGGTTTGTTGCTCATTTCTGAAACTGAAAGCAAGTAAAAGACTGAGAACTTTTCCAGGGTGTCATCAGACACTTCCCTCTCCTACAAGCACCACTACAATAACAACGTTACACTGCTAATATAAACATGGGATGAAATACAACATTCACTGCAGTGTGCCTTGCTGGATGGCAGCAGCAGTGCAGCAAACAACGCTTGGAAACTGAATATCATTAGAAACTATAACTCAGTTATTTCAGGCTGTTGATCCAAGAAACCTCCAAGGGGAATCTGGTTTGAGCCCAAGTTTCTAGCTATAGTTTGTCAATGGCAAAGCTGAAAAGCCACATGTGAGACCTGTAAGAAGTCCCTAATTGTGATAAAGAGCAACATATCCTTTCTCTAGGAACCTGACCTAGGAATTTTTCTTATTCTGAAAGCATAATGAAAGCTCCTTATACTGACCAGGAACTAGATGCAGGGAATTCTAGTTTTTCAAGCTATTATTGCTTACAGGGGCAAATTTTGTTCCAGTACCAGTTCTCACTGAGCTGCATGGTGGCTATGCAGCTGTTCTTTGGTTAATTCAGGCTGCTCTAAGAATTTTTCTCACACTGTAGTGGATGTGCATAGATTTGAACAGAAATGTTTGCTCAGGGTACCCTAAATAGCAATGTTGGTGGGACAAGAGAACTGTCATTGCTTACAGGTAAATCACAGAAACCAGGAAAAGCTGTCCTGGCCTGTCTCTGGCTGCCCAGGAAGAGGCAAGAATGTTGAAATTCTGCATTTAATTCAGAGTAGTACCTAAAGAACTTACACTGGAAGAATGAAGTGTCTCATAATATAATATAATCCTACTAAATAAATAATATAATAAATAATAATATAATCCTACTAAATAAATAATT